TTTTTTAATGGAATTCATAACGTAAACACAAGGTTTTTACTCGTGAAATTTAATGGAATTCATAACGTAAACACAAGGTTTTTACTCGTGAAATTTAATGGAATTCATAACGTAAACACAAGGTTTTTACTTGTGAAAATCTCATGTTTCACAGATTATCTGTATACAACTCCGATTGTTCTGTAAAATTTGAAAATAAAAGATCACCAATTTATCGCAAGTGATTCTACGATTAATGAAATATATTGTTGATTTTACTGGAATGTCAATAAATATTTGTTGCAGTGAAAAAAAAATATATATATATACATTTTAAATTTAAGCCTAAAATTGAACAATTATTGGATTTCGTTGTATCTACGAGTTACGCCCATTATGCTAACACATCTAGGCATTTCAATCCAACTACGTTTTAGACAACCCAGCATTGCAACGAAAATACCTACGTACAACAACTTCCCTGTCTTTTTACTACTTTATCTAACATACTTATTATAGATTATCACATTCCTACATTACTCTTACCGGGTCAAAACTAACCCTTATAAGAAAAGAAACGAAAAAAAAAAAAGTCAATAGTTTAGTTCGTTTTGAATTTCGCGCAAAACTACACGAGGGCTATCTGCGCTAGCCGTTCCTAATTTAGCAGCGAAAGACTAGAGGAAAGGCAGCTAGTCACCATCACCCACCGCCAACTCTTAGGCTACTCTTTTACTAACGAATAATGGGATTGACCATAACCTTATAACGTCCCCACGGCTGAAGGGGTGAACATGTTTGGTAGGACGAGGATTCGAACCCGTGATCTTCAATATGAAATTATAAATTTTCCATCTTTTTTGGGGACTTAAATGAACCAATTTCTTCGGGTTCAAAGATCAATATTTGATTTCATTTGACTTCTTGTCACCAAGTTGTATTTTATATATACTGAAGAACTAGAAAAAAAAATGGTCGTATTATCGACTTTTAATGGAATCATAAGGTGACGCTTTAATTGTATTTATAAGAACTTCGAGTGAATGTTAAGATAACTGTAATAAAATTATTACTGAACAATTGGTGGTGTGGGTGCTGCTTTTCTTTAGTCTGAATATGCGCAGATATTTTCTTTAGTTACACAAGACTACATTCGAATAATGTCGACTTACGATATGTGTAACAGTAAGACATTTTTGTGGATATGGTCTGAATAGAAATATAACCTTTTCAATTTTAATTCTTAAATTCGGCATAACAACAGATAAACCAAAAATATGGATATTACAGAGAAAAAAAAATAACGTCAAATTCTAATTATGTCGTCCATTTTCTTGGGAATTAAAAAAAAAGAACGCATACAAAATATTACATAAATTAAAAAGAGCAGTTATTTAATTAATGTAAAATTATCAGAAAAAGTTATCGACTGACTACGACTTGCTCAAGGTTCAATACGAGTTCATATTTAAAGTTTTGAAGAGAATTAGTTGACAAACTTTTCGTTTGAACAGGAGAGTGGTCTGTGACAGATACAGTGTGATTGGCATACTTGTTGTAAGGGTGGAGGTTGGGAGTTTAATTAGTAGAAATGTTAGGGTGGTTTCATTTCTACTTTAAGAAATATAAGGGTAACTGGCTATAGACAGTGAAAGGCAGTAGAAGCTGTGGGTGTAAGCACTCGGATTCGCACCCTTATTTCATTTTCCATGACGGCTCACTAGTTTAACTTCGGCGTTTGGATTTTGTCTGATAGATACGACAACGAGTTAACAACGTGGACCGATAACGGTAATGCGATATCTAATTCATTATGGTTTTATAGTGTTGATTTAATCGCCTATAAACAATTAATATAATTAATAGTTTAAAAGCAATTTATTTATTTGTGTAAAATCTTGAAATGAGAATTATATATATGTCGTCTCCGGAGTTAGGCCTTATTTATAAATACCATAATGCGTCATAAAGATACGACTTATATAATTTGCCCGTGTTTAAAACGCAATCGATTCGTGAAATTATTTTTATTTTTATAGCCCTAAAAGAACAAATAAAAATAATATTACTGCAATTCAGATAAACTTTATTTGTTTCTTCACTATTTTTGTTTCTTTGGTCCACATATCTGTTGCCTCAAACTCGTGCTCCGCACTTTGGGGCCGTGTACAGATTATCAAGAGTGACAGTAAAATTTCACTGTTCGATAGAGTACCCCATAATAAATAGAACTTTAAACCCTACCTTAAAAGTTCTTACTCTCAACCTCCTCCCTTTCTCCTGAAGATTTATTCAAGTATAACACGGGAAAACCAAGACAATCCCAGCTACTTGAAGTTAATATTCCATCTCAGTATACTGAGTAAAATTATTTAAAAAATTGTTATTAGCTACTTATAAGTCAAAGTAACTAACACTCTCTTCATTTCATTTTATTTTCATAAAGTAATTTCGATAGTTTAGTTTCTAAAATATTTTTTTATATATTAAAAAAATAAAGTAAGGTATTTCTTTAATCGCCTGTCTTTATAGTCATTATTTTTCAGTTTATTTTTTAGTAATAGAACATTATCCATGAAAAAATTATAGTTATTACAGACTATTAAAAACCCTTTTTTAGTTGAGATACAATACCTTTTAACATGATACACATAATAACACTGTGGGGTGGGTAGACCAAGAATGGGAAAATTCCATTCCCTTCTTTTACCAAAAATAGTCAACAGCACTGTGCCTCTTATAAAAGTAATGTCCAAATCTAAATAATTAGCTTGGCCCTTCATTATTATTACTTCTTCCTATTACAAGTTCTGTTGAATATATTAAGTTTGGTGTAAAACTTATATTAATTATAGATATTAAATCATCTATGTAAATGTATAAGTTAGAAGTTAAAGTCTGCTTCATAAATGTGTTTTCATAAAAGAACAGATACAGGTTGGCCATATTTGAAGACAAGTTCTTTCCCATTCGAAAACCTACCATTTGCTTATATACTTGTTTGTTAAAAACAATATAACTGTTATAAATACAGAAATGAAGTAAATTTTTTACATTTAATTCTAGTAAATTTAAATTTGGGTAAAGTTCTTTCATTATTTATAAACTTATCAAACAAATCATTGGAAATCCTGATTAAATCTTTTTGGCCTATTTTAGTATACAATGTAGTAAAGTCATATGTAAAAATAGAACTGGCAGTTTTTGAAGAATTTAAATTCTTTAAACATTTCAAAACTAGAATGTTATTTTTAATAATTATCCCTTTTGAGATGGGTCATGTCATCTCGTTTGTTGACTCGTATTCAAAATTTTATTTAACTACTATTTTATGAATTTATGTCAACAAGTTTGGTATCAAACTGTAGATTATAATTCAAATTTTA